CTTGGATATGGAAAAAGCTTATCAAATATCGAGAAGTGGCAAAGCGTTTCTGTAAAGTAGAATTGGGAAATGGAGAGCTCACTTCTTTTTTGTTTGATTTACAACCTCAGATATTGCAAATGAATAGATTGGTTGATATCACAGGAGCTAGAAGAGTCATTGATATGAGGATTAGTCGACAAAGCTCATTGGCGCAAGCTTCGGCTGGTCGTAGAATAAGACGACACCACATGAATTATCAGAATAAGATGGAAGATGCTCTGTTCTCGTAGTGGCAAAAGCGTAATGAGAAGGCGGGCACAGTTTTATGGCAAGGGAAGAATGACATTTTTAAGCCAAAGTTCTCGACAAAAGACACATGAAATCATATCAGAACGACCTCAAACACAGTCACTTGGCACAAGAGTATGGTTTACTCATGAAACTCCCAAATTCTCTTTCTGTGTGTGGTTGGCAGCCCAAGACTGTCTTTCTATGGGTGATCGCATGATCAAATGGAATAGTGGAGCATTAGGCATCTGTGTCTTCTGTAAAAGCTGTGTGGAAACTAGAGATCATCTATTTTCGCATGTGCTTATATTTTAGAAGTTTGGGCGGCTATTGCAAAGGGGAATCTTAAAGCAAGGTACACAACAGTCTGGTCACAACTCATTGATCATGTTCCAAATCATCAACAAGATTGAGTGAAGAGTTTTCTTACTCAATACGCCCTTCAAGCTACTGTTTATATGATTTGGAGGGAACGGAACGGACGTACGCATGGGGAGAATCCACACTCGGGAGTTCTCGTCACGGGGTGGATAGATAAGCAAGTAAGAAACCAGATTTCAACAATCTGACGAATGGGAGATATAAGATACGACGAGGCGTACCAAATGTGGCTACTCTCCCGTAGCTAATCTTTCCAAAGTTTCCTTAGCATTCTCAAAGTTAATTTTTTCAAAACTCTTTTCAAACTCATGAAGCACTTTGTTGTAAAAACGGTATTTTTTTTTAATCATATATATGAAAGTTGACCAACTCTCTGCATATGAGTGCCACATCATTACAAAAGAAATGACATGTGTCATTCTACATTATTTTTAAAAAATAGCAAAATTAATTTTGTTGAACTTTTATTAATGGAGGATTTTTAGCTAAGAGGACTTTAATTAATGGAGGATTTTTAGCTGAAATTTTTATTAATGGAGGATTTTGCAAAAAAATAAAAGTTCAGCTAAGATTAGGATTGATGGAGGATTTACTGCAACAAAAAATAGCACGACTTTATTTTACTCTTTTTATTTTACTAAATTTTTTTTTTATCAATGATCACTAATGATTAAAAAGTTATTTTTGTTGTAGTTTAGTTGTTTGCTACATAACCTCTTATTAGTTTAGTAATTTTACCTTGAGTCTTTTCTCATTATTACGTTTTATGGTTCATATACGACTTATCATATGGCCTTCTCTCTTTTTATTTTGTGTCTTATGGTAAGTTGATAATATTGACATGTAAGTTTTTTTAAATAATGGGTCTTTGAGACGTTAGACATACCAAAGAATTCAAGAGACGACCATTTTTTTTATATGCCTATATGCAATGGCAGAAGATTTAAAAGTGTTGACTTAAATGACTCTTTAAGTTTTGTTTTCTTTTATTTTCTTATGAAAATTCTTGAGATCTTGTTCAAATTATGTCAATCCAATAATTAATAGCATATCATGATGTGGCCGGAGTACTAGATCAGGAGAGTACATTGAGCAAGAATGTTTATATTTATAATCAAGTTAGACAAGTAATATAATTATATATCATTGTATCAAAATATCCTATATTATTGTTGTATGTAGTCAGTGAAAAAATATTAAAATCTTAGATATACAAATAATCATATTTATACATGAAAATGTATAAATTGATATTTCAAGTCAAAAATAAATTTAACCATAAAAATTGTAACTATATAAGATAGATCTAATTTTATTAACTATACGATAACAAAAAAAAAACATAAATTAGCAACAAGAATATTCAACATAATGTTTTCTAAACAGTTTTTAAAACAAACCCACACGTAGCGTGTGTATTCATCTAGTATAATTTTCCATTAGATGCAACTCTTTTTTGTGTGTCTTGTTTCAGTCTCCACCATAAATATAAACGGATAGATGCTACTTAGAAAAACATCGTGTAAACACTGCAATAAATCCACTAAGCCTCTTCATTTTCTTTGTTTTTAGTTTCTGTTTCCATTGTGTGATTAAAAATAAACAAACAGAACACTTTGTTTTTGTCTGATTGTATTAAAGAGTAATTGAAAATAACACGAAAAAAGAGTAATTAAACATAATCTTATGAGGGTTTGTTTTACTTATACGATGTAATAAAAATAAACAAGAATAACATAAACACTCCCAATGAAGTTTTTTTTGTTTGTCGTTGTTAGTTTGCTGAGATTTTGAGTAATCTAAGGGAAAACGATTTATGAGGTAAACTAAGGAATTAGTCGCAATTGAATAAAGTTAGTAACAAGATTTTATTTTTTTTTGTATTTGTTTGCTAAATTTAATAGGGAAATTGTTAATAATGCCACTTTTTCAATGCCACTTTTCAAAAATACCCCTTTTTAAAAACCTTATAAAAAATGCTCTTAAAAATATAAGATTTACCCAAATATGTATGTAATATTATTAAAACATACACAAACTACATTTCTATGTATCTAAAATCTTATAAATACTTTATAAATACCTTATAAATGCATTTTAAATACCTTTAAAAACCTTTAAAATATCTTGTAAAACCTTTGAAAAACCTTAAAAATCCTTTAAAATAACTTGTAAAACCTTTAAAAACACCTTATAAAACCTTATAAATACTTGGATCGAGTCTTCAAGTAGTAGTTACAATCCATAAGTACCTTATAAACCTAATAAAACTTTATAAAAATTTCAGATTTAAAAAGGGGCATTTTTGAAAATGTACATCTAAAAGGGGCATTTTTGAAAAGGGCATGAGAAAAGGGGTATTTTTGCTAATCCCCCAATTTAATAACGAGATTTAAACAAAAGCTCAATTCAATTCTAATGAAATGTGTTGTTGTTCAAGATAAGTAAATGAATAACCAAGTTTATTCCGTTAACGAGATTTAAACAAAAACTCAATTCAATTCTAATGAATTCTCTTACTTTTAGCAAGAAAATTTAGCAAATAAAGAAACAATTTCAGCTCACTAGAGTTTTCAAAAAAAAAATTGATTGCTCGCATCTAGGGGTGTCAAAATGGTTAACCCAACTCAACTCAACTCATTACCCAATGAGTTTAGAGTTAAATGAGTTCATGGATTGACTCAACTCATTTAGTAAAATGAGTTGAGTCAACCCATCAACTCATTTAATTTGATGGGTTAGAAGGTTAAATGGGTTGACTCATTAACCTATTAATGTAATAAATAAATTAATAATTAAAATATAATAATAATAATAATCAACGTCACTATTATTTGGCGGGAAAATCACGGATTTACGTTTTTGGCGGGAAAATTACGGATTTACGTTTTTGGCGGGAAAATTTTACATTCTCATTTTTGGCGGGAAAATCACGGATTTACGTTTGTGGCGGGAAAATCACGGATTTACGTTTTTGGCGGGAAAATTACATATTTTCGTTTTTGGTTAAAAATTATAAAAAAATTTTGGCGGGAAAATTGTGGATTTACGTTTTTGGCGGGAAAATCACGAATTTATATTTTGATGGAAAAATTGTGTATTTACATTTTTGGCGGGAAAATTAAAGACTATATTCAATCGGTTTAGAAGTTTTGGTTAGACTCAAATTGAAATCGGTTTAGAGATTTGAATTGGTTTGATTCAATTTAACAAAAATTGATGGGTTAAATGGGTAAACCATTGAAACCACTAACCTATTATAACCCAACTCATTTGATCCATCAACTCATTTGACTCAATAACTCATTTGATCCATCAACTCATTTGAGTCAAAATTTTCAACTCATTAGGGTTCATGGGTTGAGTTGAGTTTTGGTTGACCCATGAATCTTGACCCATTTTGACACCCCTACTCGCATAACAAAAATTTAACAATGAAGTCTCACTAACATGAAAATGATAGTAAAGGACCTCAATGTTTAAGAAACTTACGAACTTATCTTAGTCCAGTGTTAAATGTTTCTGATGAATTTATGTGATATCAGATCTAATTTTCTTGGCTTTCGTCAATTATTTACATGTTTTTTTAATAATCATTTTAGGCCAAAATTAATCATTTATTTCGTTATCAATATGATTTCGATAAAAAGAAAATTAATTTCTCTTTAAAAATCCCTATACAAAACAAATAACTCAAACTAACATAAAATATCTATTTGTGATAAGGCAAAATTAACCTAATAATTTTTAAAGTCTTTATAAAGAAATATATTTCCAGTCCTTATATATAATTACAGTATTAACTTATAAAGTAATTAATAATCATGTATATATATATATATATAATATAAATATATCGTTATACTGTTTTGTTTTTGAATTTTTCTTAGAAAACATATTATATTGTGTTTTAAAACTATTTTATGTGTTGTCTACAAGTTTACATAAAAATAACCAAAATTTATGTATGTTTTTAAATTATAAATATGCATAATTTTCATGTCGATAGTCATGTAGGCGGCTCAAATACAACAATCGAGGTCACGAATTATAATTTTAATTTTATGTATATCATTTGTATAAGTGAGTTCTCTTGTCTTTGTTATTTATTATCAAAAACAATTTTTCTTCTTCTAGATATTTGACTATTAAGTCAAAAAAATAATTTTTTTTATAAAATCTAAACATTAATTCATATTTTTCTAAAATTTTAAATTTAAAATAAAACTCTATAAATTAGTAAATATTGATTTATACTATAAATTAATATTTATTAATTTATAGATAAGATTAATATCACTATAATTTAGTAAATATTTTTACAATCCTTCTTGATCTTCTGTATAAACCATGTCCAATTATCTTCATTTTCAACATCAACAATAGCCCAAGCAAATGGATACATTCCACTGTTTGCATCTCTACCAACTGCTGCCAATAACTGTCCTTTAAGAGTGCTTTTGAGGAAACAACCATCAAGTCCAAAGATGGGACGACACCATATTAGAACTGTGTTTAACTCCACGGTGGATTCAGGGTTAGAACTAGCAAAGAAAATAAAAACATTTAGTAAAAATAAACTGACATTGAATGATTAAACTAGATGACAACAGCTACTTACCGTAGCAGCTCAGCTTTGTAGTCTCTAAGCCTATAAAACTGCTCTTCATGCTCTTTTTGAATGATTTCCAATGCTATCTTCTTCCCTTTCCTACACTTGTCTATTGTGGCAACCAGATTGAAGTTCTTCAGAATATTCTCTTCCATTGTCCTCGGTTTAAAGTCAGGATGAGACCTTATGTCATCCAGAAACAACTTTGCAATCACTCTCGACTTCCATATCTTGCAATATCCATCTTTTGTGCAAGAGTGTTCATGTTCAAATGTCTTCACCATGAACTTCCCAATTGGCTCCTCATATGCGCAATATATCCTCCACTTACAAAGAGTTTCACCGTCTTCTACTCCACAAATAGCTTCACACTTGACTTTCCCCCATCTGTTTTGCTTGATGTTCCACTCTCCCTTTAATGCATAATCAACCAAAGCTTCTTTGAACTCATCTAAGCTTTCAAACACTTGGTTCATCTTAAATTCACAACTTCCTCTTTTACATCTCACATATTCTACTTCATCTTTCTATCTACCTTCATCGTCAGAATTGGGAGGAGTATTATGATAATCAAACTGTTCATCATCATCCTCATCAATAAAGTTAGCCACATTTCTTTCTACTCTCAGCTCTTCCTCACAAGGTTCAGCACCAATCTCCTCATCTCCTTCAGAATCAACTAGATAAACATTAACAAACTTCACCCATCGAGCCCCATCACGCATCTTCTTGAAACTAGAATCCCTCTCACATAATAGCTTTCGCTCCTTATTGTCTTCATAAGGGTAATTATAGGACACCTTCTTCCCATAAAATGCTTCACCTAGTTCAGACCCCAATTTTGTATAAAATTCCTCCGGTTTACATTTTTACATCTTCACCTCTCCACCGATATAAGCATCCTTCTCATCTTCACTAGTCACCCAATTCCCACCGTAGTACACACTGAATGTTGCCACATCCAGAGTACTGCAAACGACATCAAAAAATTAACATTCAACCCAATTATAACTCTCTCAGATATTTCATCGAACACTTGGAGGGTTAATTAAAATCGAACTCTACCATGAAGATATTTAATTTGCTGAGACTTGCTTTATATGTAAATTGAAAAAAGGGAATGATTCTCATACGAAAAGATCATATAATTGAGACTTAACAAATCAAATTGACATAAACAAAGAAAGAAAAAACTACTTATCACCTCATCCTCTCTTCTCAAAGACCCAAAATTGTAGCTTAGAAGTCGTTTTCGTAACAAAAGATTGCTTCTTCGATTAGTAGACACAATTTCGTTTCGAATTGAGATTTTTCTCTTCAAACTCACTCACACTCTCCGTTTCACGAATGACATGAAGAACCCTAATTTTGATTTTCTCCCAAAAATGAAACGACGTCGTTTAGTTATTAAGAAAAAGAACACACAATTGTTAAACGACGTTGTTTTGTCGAGCCCAGATGCCATGAGTAATGCCACGTGGTCCCTGACTCGGCGCAGTTTAACGGTCTCGTGACGCCGTCATAGCAGATGATGAAATCGGCAAAAAATACATAGTTTGGGTTTGGAGTTTGAATTTGGGAAAAATGTCGCAAAATGCGCCAACTTTCAAATTTGGGACGATTAAAGCATGAACTCTTAAAATGTTACTTTAATCACAAAGATTTTGTTGACTTTCCCATAAATAGCTAAGGTTTCGTTGACCTGGCCAAATTAGGCATCGCGATAAGTCTCCGTTAGAACGACGTTGACGCTGTTAACTTGCCGTTTTTACAGTCACCGTTTAACCAAAACGGTGATGTTTTCTTCAGAGACTGAATTGTCTCTGCTTCTGCTGGGCTCTTCTCCGATGGCATCGACGCCGCTTCAATCTCCAATGGTATCGACGCCGCTTCAATCTCCGATGGTATCGACATTGCCTCACTCTCCGACAGGTTTTGAATTATCTCCGATTTTTTCTGGGATCTCAATCGTCTTAGGTTCTCGATCGTTTGCTTTGCCTTCTTCCTCTACCAAAGCCAGCAGCCTCCGCGACCGACGAGGATTCCAATTTCCTCCATGCGTCTTCACTATCGGGATCTATAAGCAAGAGAACGAGAGAATTTGGGTTTTTTTTTCTAGGGTTAGGGATCGATTTGGGAATGAAATCGATTTGGGGGTTTTGACATTCTTCTCTGACTAAAACAACGACGTTTTCGCTTTACAAAAACGTCGTCGTTTTGGTTAAACGATGACTGTAAACGGAAAGTTAACAGCGTCAGCGTCGTTCTAACGGAAACTTAACGCGATGCCTAATTTGGTCAGGTCAACGAAAACCTAGCTATTTATAGGAAAGTCAACATAAACTTTGTGATTAAAGTGACATTTTCAGAGTTCATGCTTTAATCGTCCCAAATTTGAAAGTTGGCGCATTTTTCGACATTTTTCCCATTTGAATTTATATGTGGTTTGGGTTGATTTATGTAGGGGCTCAAAGTTTGGGTTTAACAAGGCCGCCAGCAAATAGTCTGGGTGGATTTTGGCTTCTCTCTCTCTCTCTCTCTCTCTCACTCACTCTCTCACTCAAGCTTGTTATTAAACCTCTTCTTTAATTTCTTGTAGTTCTGGAGAATTCTGATATTTTGGCACAATGGAGAATTCTGATATTTGTAAGTTTTGGAAGCTGGATATGTTGGAAGAATCAGCTCAAATAGATTACAAAAAAAAGATAATTATTATCGATATCCCGAGTCCCGAAACACGAGATTCGATACTAGACTGACTTGTGAAAGTGATGAGAAAAGAGAATGGATACTGTAACACCCGTCCCGCTACTGGTAGGGACGGTCGGGGCGTTACAAGTGGTATCAGAACCGAACCCAGACGAGTGTGGAGTCAAGAAGGCTCACACCGTAGGGGGTGACGGTCTTAGTGCGCAACGAGGACGTTGCAATCTGTTAGTGGGGGTGAATTGTAACACCTCAGTTTCTGGAATGTGGTGGTGCATGCGGAGAGGTTTAAAAGAATTGATTTGGGCACCTATGTCACCAAAGTGCACTTATCTTTTCGGTCAACCGTTCTGAGAGAACTCCATAGTTAAGCGTGCTTGGGCTGGAGTAGTTTCAGGATGGGTGACCTTCCGGGAAGTGATTGTCGGAACTGTGTGAGTGAGGACAAAACACAGGGAAATATCATGTGGTGATTTGTGGGTCAGTAAACAAGTCTTTAAAGCTTCCCGGACGTAGCGGACCGGCCGTCGGACAGGGGTGGGCCCATGGGCCCGAGAGAGGACGTGGGGCACACTGGTAGGGACGGTCGGGGCGTTACAGATACGATCGAAAGCTGATCATTAAGAATAAGCTTATGCGTGATACTGAAAAAAAAACTCAATTGTGTCTCTCAATGTATCTCAGCATGTTAGAAAATTCAGATTTTTTGACAAAGGATGAGACCATCGCGTAAGCATGACGTTGATTTAAGGAAGTGGAAAGGTAATGGAGACGGAGTTTGGAAATATGTGTTCAATAATGGTTGGAACAATGTGATTGACACAAAAATCTTTGAAGTCAATCACATGATTGAAATCTGGTCCTTTCGAGATGGAAGTGGAAAACTTTGTTTTGCTCTCTCTTCTCCGACCAGCTCTGGTGAGTGCAGCTGTCATCTTTCATCAAGTCGTCACAACGTTGCTTGAGACACAAGTAACAAAGGAATTTGTTTTCGGCCTCTTTTGGGGTTTTTTTTTTCTTTTTTTTCTATTGTTGAGTTAGAGATTGGATGTTTTTCCAATAACCTTATTTCCTGAATTAATTTATTTTAATTTGATTGGTGATATAGCAGATTTATTAAAAATAAAAACGGAAACAACTTTGGAATATAACTTAAATGCATATTTAGTAAGAACAAATTAGAATTTGATTTAGTTTGTTAGAACCAAAAAGATTATTGGTTTATGATATGGTGATATTCTATTAGATGGTTAACATGTTGATGTGGACATTCTAGATGAAAAAGAGAACTCTTTTTAAACAATACTATTAAGACCCCATAAATCATTTATAACAATATATAATTTAAAATATTATATTAGTATTGTTTATATATTAACTATAAATAAGAAGTTATAACACTAAGATCAAACTCTATTTTGTATTTTAAACAAAAATTATATTATACGTCTATATGTTAATAGTCATTTGAAATTTATATTTCATTTTTAATTTACTCTCTATTGTTTCATATAACATGTGATATATTAAAATTTTAATTTTTTTAATAAGTTAATGTTTCCAGAAAATATGAATATCTTCATATTATAAAAAAAAAAACATCTTATAGCCTTCTATTTCAATTCAATTCTTTTGTTCATCCTAAATTATATTTGAGGTTTCCTTATTATTCTTAAAAATGGTAGTTCTTAAACATATTTTAGTTTTATATTTTTAATAATTTATTTTCTTTTGAAATCATATAATAAATTTCATTAAGAATTTTTTGTTCATCTTAAATAACATTAATCTTCTAAGAAATTTTCATTGTTAATTTTTTATTCTTAGTTATATATTTAGGGATTATATTATACTTTTAGTCATGTTAACACATATTTAATTTTCAGTTTTTTTTAACAACTATTAAATTTTAAGTATTGTTATACGTATATATGTTAATATGACTAAAAGTATAAACATAATACGTATTCAAGTAACTTTTATTTTAAATTGTGTATTAATTGAAGATTAATACTTAGATAAAATTAATTAATTACTTTAAAATGATTATTGGTGGAGTCTATGATATTATTTGGTGATTATGTGGACACGTTAAGAGGAGAGATAACTCTTCCATTATACATATATATAGATTTTCATGCATAATTTTAATTAAAAAATATACTATATATCAGTTAGTTTGCTTTGAAAAAATTTATGTAATTCGACCACAAAGTTTATACATATTATTTTTTATACTATTTAGCTATTAATAAAAAAATCAAACTGTAAAAGTTGTTTTGTTATTACATAAAAAAAAGTAAAATTTACTATATTTCTACTTTATATTAAAATAACAAAATTACTTTAAATTTTACGGTAACATTATTTTTTATTGAATTGTGAAATCCCAGCTGACTACACTGTCCATCACACAGTCGTGATGACGAATATCTATGCTCATCCCTAGTCCTGAAATCAATTTCATATGACCATCAGAGACATCGGGGTTGTAAGTACGAACACAATATCTTTCCGACTGTTTGCAGAAGAGGGAGCCACAATACAACATGCTGACTAAATACACCAACACCATCTGAGTGAGCCTCGAGGAGAAATACAAACTCTGTTTGGATGAATTCTCTCTTTTATTTCAGCTTCTAATGCTTCTTTAACTTCTCTGCCGGTGATGTTGAAGGAGCAACCGATTTTATGAATCTCTTCAAGAAATAGAACTTGAGTGAATTGCATCTTCTATATGTAGTGACAAGGAACAACTTAAGAAACCTCTGAGAGAGATGATTGGAAGGCTAACAATTTCATTAGGTTCCATTTTGTTGAGAATTTGAGTAACTTTGGAATGGTGGGATCGACGACTTAGGAAAACAGTTGTATGAGGAGGAGAATATTATAGAGCAACTTAAAATTGTCTCTAAGGAAGATGGATCTTTCTCACTTGTTTGTGTGCATAAAATGTTCATCTTCAAATTGAAGGATTATAAAGTGAAATTAAAAGGATTCCACCAAAGAGATTGTAGTTCCTAAAGTATTTATTGGTTGTAGAGAGTTGGAAGAAATTCTAAACAAATGGAGAATTTCCGAGCATGATTTCTCACCATGATTTTTTATTTGGGAATAAGCATAGAACATGATTTATTTTATCAGGAACAAAACATAATTTCCAAAATTAAATGTCTATATTTTAGTCACAAAGTGTTATGAAAAAAATCAGAAAATGTTATAAAAAATTGCAGATTCAAAAATTTAATATATATGTAGAAATAGAAATATATTATTTTGAATAAAATTTTCGTTTTCGTTTTATTTTTAATTCTAAAAGTTCTTTATTTTCTTAAGACAAAAATCTTCGCAAAATTATTTAGAAAATAACTTAGAGATAAGATTCATAAAGTATGTTTTAGATTATATTAACCCTTTAACAACTTAGAAAAATAATAAAATTTGTACTTAGAACAAGGATGAAAGTAATTGATTTGCTCTTTGTGTTTTATATATCTTTTATATGAGAAGTGGATGGATATGTGTTTATTATAGATTTAATTTTCACAAATCACAATATATATAAAT